GTACCAAATTAATGAAGCATAGATTATTATTATTTTCATTTATTGCTTTAGAGAATATATATATAAATGGACTGTCCTAAGATTAGTCAATTGAGGAAATAAATGTGTAATTTAATGCAACTAACTTGAAAAAAATTGAACAGAAAGGACAGCTTTATAACACATCGAGCATTTTGTGATGCGTTAGCGGAAGAAAGTGCAAGATTTACATCAGTTCCAAGTACAGCAAATCTGAATTTCAGAAATGAAATTTTGCTGAATGGGGAATTTGGCAATACTAATGTTCAGCATAGTACTGGAAATCCCCAATTTGGTTCTAATTTGTTTAGGCCTGAATTTATGGGACTTGGATTGGACCCTGCAATCAGTCATCATCATCATCAACCACAGCTCAATAATGTCGATGGACAAAAACCAAGGATACCGCTTTGGTTGGACAATAATATGAATCCGAATCCAGGTAATGATTTCTTAGTAGCATCGTCAAGCTCTACTACTAGCAATTTGCCTCATCATGAATTGGTCCAAATCGCGGCACATAACAATAATCAACAATGGTTCATTAATGGTGATGATTCTGGAATTGGCTCTTCCTCGTCTCAACTTCCTTCACGAGTACTGCTAAAGGAGGAAGAAGAGAACAAAAGAAATATGTCGGACACAATAAGTTCAATGTACTACAACAATCATCACAATGAAACAACAGCACCAGCTACTCATATGTCGGCTACTGCACTTTTACAAAAAGCAGCCCAAATGGGATCAACGAGGAGCAATTCGGCCCTCTTTGGTGCTGGATTCGGGCTAATGGGCTCGTCTTTTTCTAAAACCAATGGACAAGGACAATTTGCTGCTCATGATCAGAATTTTAATGGCTTAATGATGAACTCTCCATCAACAGCTACGAATAATATTAGTAATCAAGGAAATAGGCTGTTGTTCGGGGATATGAATTCGAGTTCATTAGAAGGTAATGCAAGTGGAAAGAACTCAGATCCTTACAATTTGATGCCGCGTAACAACAAAGGAAAACAAGTGAATCTTAGTGGAAATGAAGCAATTGAAGGAGGTTTAACAAGAGATTTTCTCGGGGTAGGAGGGAATGAAAGTAGGCCTTTTCTATCGAAAAATGAGCTAGCCAAGTTCGGTAACATTTCTGGTTCAGCCATGGGATTAAGCGACTATAGTGGAAGTCATTGACTCTGAGTTTTTCACTCAAAATATATACAACACATATGCACAAAAAAGTTATGTGTGCTGCACACACATTCTAAAGTGAATTACTCAAAAGGTCCAAACTTGTGGGGATATGCTATTTCACTATAGTGGAATGATACAATGTTCAGAGTGTGGAGAAAAATAGAAGTTGGAAGAAGGCCAAAAGCTTCAATGTTCATGAGAGAAGAGAGAGAAAGCAGCAGCAATTTTGAGAGATCTTGTGAATTGTCAGAGAAAAAAAAGGGTGGGGACCACTGAATGTTGGAAGAGATTTGTTAAAAGGGACTTGACAATCACAAGTCAGCCTTTTTTTTTTCCTCCATTGTGTTTACTTACTGCTTGTAGAAATATTTCTGCCTTTTTACAAATTTATTTTCCTTTGAATGTTCAATTGCTTACTGCATACCTGTGAACTCTCTAGGCTCACTGCCATATTCAGAATCTTTTAGAATTTTCAATTATTTTGGTTGTTATTTTCTCTTCTAGTACCTCTTTTTGTTTCTTATAATTGTTCTCTTCATCATGTTGTTCATGCCTTGATCAAACACTGCCAAAAGAAAATCGACATTAGTCAGTTTCGTTGTTAATCTGTTGTTAAATTGCTTGTAGCTAATTTGATTTTTTTGATAATCCATTGCTAAATAAGATTAAGGATTGATGTTGTTGTTTAGTTACTAAATTTTCCGTTGCTAATTCCTTTTTTAGCAGTGAAAAAGGTGGCCATCATAATTGGATTTTGGAGTAGTTATTAGTTTTTCTCCTTGATTCTACTCTTTAAGTTTTGGAAAAGATCTGTTTGATTTATGTATCATTTTGTACGCATGTTGTTGAATCTGTAAAGAATCATGGAATAATGGTATGTTTTAAGAAAGTTCCAAGAAACCAAGCTTTTTAACTTATATATACACTAGCATTATTAAAGATTATTTTTTTTAATCGAGGGTCTATCGGAAACAATCTTTCTATTTTTCGGATAGGAATAAGATATATGTACATTTTAACTTTCTCAAACCCCAATTTATAAGACTACACAAGGTATATTGTCGTAGTTATTGTTGTTACATTATCAATATATACTATAAATTTATGTTTTGCTGGGCGTATAAATTGGACCGAAACCCTTTGTCAGACTATGATTCCCTCGAAGTTATATGTAAGATACTGATTACTATTTATTCATTGGGTAATTAATTTTTTTTTTCTATGCGAATTAGTTCATTATCTCCGTAAAGCCTGATTTGGCCAAAATCATTTAGAGCTAATGATCAAGTTAAACATTCTAATCAATCCGTATGTTGTTGTTTTTTCTAGATGAACCGGTTGAGGGGTGTGATGGATAGGTAATTAGAGGTTTCGAATTCGACTTCAAATATTTACCGGATGATTTAACTTTAAAATTAAAATAAGGGTGCAAATGTGGTCACCTAAGTTAAATGAGGTCTACATAATATATTTGTTGTGATTTGTAGAGATGTACATCTATAAAATTTGGAACTTGTTAACTCGTTTGTCTGTTGCTTTGGCAGCATGCTGGGATATATACGCATATCAAAATCATTCCAGCTATTTCTCATCAGTTGAGCCAAAAGACAAGTTTAATTAATTATATTTATCAATAATTTATCTCTTTCTCTCTAAACTCCCAACTCCTAAGCCTGGTATATATATATATATATATATATATATATATATCATAAGGGCAAAATTAATAGTAGTAAAAAAAGTGCTATACTGTAATTTGAAAGAAGAAAAAAATGATTCTTGCTCCCTTCATTATAGTCAAACATTATTTTTATTAATTATGAGTAACATATATTAAAGTTATACTGTAATTTGATATTGTTTCTGTACACTTGGAGAATCAATATTTTTTTCTTTTAATATGTGTTTACGTTTTTTCAAATACTCTTAAATAAATGTAATTGCTAGTATATTTAGTGCAAGAATATGTACTTTATTTCAAACTTTTATGAAATTGACATTCAAATTCATACCGAAAAATCAATTAAATAATATTCTTTTAAGCGTGATTTTGTTTCTCCTTAATTGAGAACGTGTGTGCATGGAAATTATGCATGGAGATCGATAGTACTAAAGTTTGAAATTAAACAGAATCTCGAGAATGTGTGTGTGTGTATGTCACAGTGAGAAAACTCTAGCCCCTACCTTATAGCATACAATAATTATGACATTTTTCTATTCAACTGCTTCGAACTTTGAAATAATTGTCAAAATATAAATATATTCTGTTGGTTTAAAGTAGTCAAAGCTAGCTACTTGTATTAGGTAGCCTCGATATATTCACTTTCATTCTCTTGCCTAGGTTAGGTAAATAATGTTTGTACACTTTTTCCGGTTATTTATTTGTCATAATTTGACTTGACATGAATCTCAAAAAAGTGAAAAATATTTTTAAATCATGAAATCAACTAAAGATAGGTATAATATATCAAATATCACATGTTCGTTCTCTTTTTCCACTTTATTCGTTGAAATAACATTGTATTGCATATATTTGCTAAGTTGAAAGTTGAAAATTAGAGGGAAATATGATGATACAAAAAGAGTCAAGAAAGGTTATATTTGGTTACACAATTTTACATTATTCCAGAGCAAATTTGGATTATATATATATATATTCAAATTGGGTGAGTGAGAGACGAAATGTAATTATCTTATAAGTTGACGAATGCAGATGTATCAACGACCTAAGAAATTTAAACAATTTTGTAGTGACATTTGTGAAGAAATACTTTTATATATTTTCTATGCACCTTTTAATTTTTATTATGAACATCATTCTACAACTATGGAACTATAGTAAGGTGTTGGTAAAAATCATAATGCATATTTTTCATCTTTACTCTCTTAAGCGATTTAAGATTCTAACCTCTCTAATTGGGAAGAGTTTGCAAAATTTGTAAATGGAAGAATAATTGGACTAATGCCCTAAGTATGGTAGCAAATTCCTTAAAACTAGAACAACAATATGATGGGCCATTATAAATATTGGGCTTTGAGAAAGATGAATTGATCATTTTTGTTGTGTATCAGTATAACTTCTTTAAGTTTAGTGCCTATTCCTTCACTATTAATTGTTGTTGGTCGAAAGTTAGGATCTAATCTTAGCTTGACATTTAAACTTGATTGGCCGCTATGATAATGTACTTGTGCAAACTCAAAGTTGGAGAGATCTGATAGGATGTGTGTGTCTATTTGTTAGTGTGAGAAGCCACATAGGATGTGTGCGTCTATGTGTTAGTGTGAGACGCCACATAGGACATGTGAATCTACTTGTTTAATTTTATACAAATTTAACTGGCTACTTATACATATCCAAAGTTGGAGGAAATAGATGTTAGTTAAGATCAAATTAAAGACAATGTTTATGTGTTATGTCTTTGCGTTTTATTGTTGCTTGTTCAAGTAAAGAATATGACATATCATCCTTTTGACTGTGCTCGCGCACTACTAAAAAGACACTCTTTTTTCATTAAAATTTTTCATGGAAAAGGTTCAATATTATACCTCGATATTTTGATTAAATTGATAAGAAAAGAAAAATATACACAGAAAAATTATGAAGTTTCTCTATATTTCAACACGAATCTGTTTTTCACCATGCGTTGTGTACTAGTGAGGTGGCTCAATAGAAAATTAGTAGGAATATCATGTTTTATCACACAAATTTTCCATTATTTTACGATAGAAAAACCTTCATTTCTAGTAATGGTGGTAAAGTAGTATAAAATAAATTTTAGAATAAACAGCCGAAGCCGAAGTGACGATTGAAAAACATATAAATGCACACCACTTCAAAATTTGATTCATATCTTACAGTTGAAAATCCAAATTGAAAAGACATGAAATGAAAAAGGAGGGAACAATAAAGAAACACAATTATTCAAATTGAGGGAAATCACAGACGATCACAACCGTCGAATCCAAACCTGCAACCCATAATCTCTTCCAAACAAATATGATTCATGACCAATCACAACCGTCAAAAAATTCTAACGTCACAACCAAAACGCAAAACAGAAAGCCCCAATTCCCAACACCGCCACGCCGTTCACGCTATCAGCACCCGATTTATCCGCCGGCGTATCATCGCTCCCGGAGCTTGGACTCAACGCCGCCGGAGACTTCTTCTTCAGATTCGACGTTTCCGGAGTCGCCGGTGCCGGTGCTGTCGCCGGCGACGGAGAAGCAAAGATACTCAATGGCTGAAGAACTTTATCCACCTGATAAACCGCGAGCTCACCGTCAGTATATATAGTATTACCCACAGTAGCATCTACAATTCCGGTGGACACATTCACTTGATTCCCGGAAGTCGTTACATTTAATGGGAAATCACCGGGACTAGTGTCTCCAGCTTGAGTCCTCAATGGATTACTCACAGTTTGAAACTGTGAAACTGAAATAAAACTAGGAAGTACATGAAATTGCACCAACTGAACTTGTTGTTGAGAACTTAGAGAATTGAGAGTTCCCGCTTTTAAGCTCGAAAATGCATTATCAGTAGGTGCAAAAACAGTCATTCCTTGTTTCGAATTATTCAATTGTGTATTGATCTGATCACCGGCTTGAGTAGTTCTTAAGAGCCTGATAAATGTGGTGAACTGACCGGCTTTTTCGAGTATTTTCGTTATATTGGTGGGACCCGATGGAGCGGGAGCAGAGGCAGGATTTTGACCGAGGGTGAGGGTGCAAGAATGGAGTAAAATTGCTAAGAGGGAAAGAGAGAAAACAAAATAACTCATCATATTTGCTAGGAGAAATTGGACTTGGGAATTTGAACTTTAAAAGATGATTGGTGCTTGAGAAATTGAGGGGTTTTATGGAGAGAAAAATAGGAAACTTTGTATGGTAGGTGAGAAGTTGGAAATCATAGTAACTGTATAAACAAATTGATAGTAGTATAGTATCTCTCAATTTGGTGGGAGGTTTAAGATTTTATTTTGTTTGTTGGAATTCTGTTTTAATTTATACATCGACAATGTAAAGACTGAACTTCTAACATGTTATAACAGGTTAGTTATCATTTTATCAGGTCACAATCACTATTTATAGTAGAAACTTACTTGTAATTATCTTATAAATGACATAATTGTAGAAGTTTAAGATATTAGAAGATCCAATTAGAATCTTTAAATTTCTGTTATGGGCCATAATTAGAAACATATGGGGTTGGGAGGAACTATTACAGCTAACAGTTTGCTTGGAAACACAGGAAATTTGGAGAGATCTGAAGTTTGAGTTTTTACAAATATTAAAGTATTTTATGATTGCTTTGCTTATACTCGTTAGAAATTTTAATTATGGCTATGATTGGCTTGCCACAAACTTAAAAAGGAAGTTTTGTTTAAATTCAGTGTAGTTCTTGATCATGATAAAAATAAAATTAAAAAAATAAAGTTATTGATCATGATTCATGTGTGCCCATCCTCTTCTGTTGGTTTCTTATAATTCATCAACCTCTAATTAGGCCCTCTTTTGTATTGTATTAATTCACATTGAATGGTTATTACAGAGGAACTAAAATCATTCCATTTTGCATAGTTGGTCATTGAGGTGTCATGCCACGTGACGTCCAACTCATTGGGATTGGGATTGGGTGTCCACCTTGGACAACCTTAATAGATGATGATATATTTGAACCATTTAAGTAATGTCGGGAGATTTTTTGGAAGAATAGTATAACGAAGGATACGGTGTTCCTCTTCTCGTACCTTTGAATCCAGAAGTACCAGCTGAGGACCAAGAAACTACTCAACCCCGTACATCTGTAACAGTGACAATGATATTATTGGGAAAATTTGACCCTTTTCCCTTCGAGAAATAAGGTGCACCCAACAGACTGCTGGCAAAACTTGCCATGGAGTGTTTTTGATTGTAAAACAATGAATCAAAATCCTGAAAAAAAACAGGAGTAAGACAAACTTGAGTTATTATGTATAGTATTAAGCAACAACATCTTGAAACAGGGCATGAAAACTCTACAATTCGAGACTTGGCTGTCTCGTGAAGCATCAAAAGAAAACGATGCTTAGTTGATATTTCCAAAAAAAGGATAGAAGTTATCCAATAAAGATCATGGCAATGATGATACAAGAAACTTTTAATGTACTGTCATCAGTATTCTTTTTTGAACAGCTAGAAAGTCAGGTTAATCTGAGGTTGCAATCTAATTAGCTTGGTGTTTTAGCACACTGCACCATATCTCATATTATTGGAGTTCCTTAAACTTGAGTAGAATGCAGCTTTTGAGACCTGAACTGGAAAAAAAAGTTATTTTTATCTATAAAAGGTGCTAGTAAATTTCTTACAATCAACTATATCCTAAACATAGTAATGTAAATAGTTCCAGAGAAAAGCAATCCAACAGTAAAAGGAAAAACTACTACTACTACTGTCGGTGTATAGAAGTTAAATCTCTTCTCATAATTCATCTCTTGCGTTGCCATTCTCCCTCTTGACGCCTACTTTAGAAGAAGCTGGTCTCTCAAGCTTGAAAGGGATAGCTGCATTTTTCTTGATAAACTTATACAATGCCACTAGAGTAGGTTCAGTATCAACCAGGATCTGTAGGATCAAATACAAAAATAACTATGCCTCAGTCTCAAACGAATTGGAGATTTGTAGAATCACAGACATTAGGCATCTCAAACGAATTGGAGATTTGTAAAATCACAGACATTAGGCATCTTGCTTGGTTCACAAAGCAGAAACACAAACAAAATAAACATCACTTACTGGATCAATGCTCTTATTTCCTGCTGGAAAGAATTGGAGACTCGGGAATCCTATAAACTGCAAAGGATCATAAAAGAAGTAGAAGGTGATGATCAAGCTACTAAATAGTGTCCTCTTCAAATCCAAACCACGTATTTTATTATAAACTACCTTAGCACGAGGGTGCTCGTTTCTTGTTCCTTCCATTTTGGCTATAACAAGAGACTCAATGCCATGTAAGTGGTGTGCTAGTTTATTGAACATTGGTTCCAGAGCTTGGCACTGCCTACACCATGGTGCATAGATCTAACAAAAAAAGATAATGAAGTTTCATACCAAAACTTTGATCCCTCAGTTGATTACAAAAACCAATGGAAGAATATTCATTTCTTGAACATACCTCAAGAAACGCGTCTTTTGATTCATTTAGAATGATTTCATCAAAATTGTTCCCGACCACGATTTTCACATCAGCATCATTCTGTGATAATTACAGATGAAATTAAATCAGCACAGCTATGATGAGTTAAGTTACAGGCCAGAAGGAAACTGCAGCTTACTGTCTCAGGAATCGGATCTGATTTATAGAAAGGCTTGAGCTTGTCTTCGAGAAAGTCATCATTAAATGCCTGGGGAATAAAAGACAATAAACAAGTTAGTCCAGAGAAATTCCCAGCCAAAATTTTGTGCATCTAACAACCATTTGTGACCATCTACCTTAATCTTCTCGAGTGTAATGTCCCCGTCAAATCTAAATTTCTTGCGATCATCTTCTTCTATGTATCCAATAACCTAGAGGAATAAATCAAAAATCAGTAACCAATTCTTCCAAAAGATCTTGTTGTTCCCATTATAATGTGGAATAAGTGTTACCTGTGGAGCATCTCCAGTGACCCCAAAATAATTTGATACTGGTCTTCCAACTTCCTCATCGTCCGTTTTGACAAAAACAAAGTTGAGCTTCATTTGTCAATGTACACACTATTAGTTACTAATTTATAGTCCCAAAAGTAAAGGGATCAAAAATAATTTTGTATGTTTGGGTGTATGATAGATAGGTAGTTTATCTGTTCCTGTTACATAATTTACTTGATAATTGCACACAAATGAACAGAGAAAAAACACTCAAATCTTAAACAGAAACCTTAGAATTCATGATCTCAAGCATTGATCAACCTACTTAACACCGAAGCCTTAAAACGATAGTACTCCAAGTCATGATCTCAATCTACTCCAATATCAATCATTATAAACTAAACAGGAGGATTTTACTAGTAAATACCTTACATATTAGGTGACAGCGCCGGTTCTAACAGTATTTCCACTCTACCGGACTATATGTAATTATGTCCAAAAGTAATGACAATGCTGTTATATGTTTGAGACTGAATAAAGCTTCATTATATTACCTTTCCCTTGAAAAGTTTTGCAGCATCTTGAAATGTTGGGAACAACTTTTCTATATCATTTGCTGTGGCGAAAAGCAAAACCTGCATATAACATAGGGGAAAATCAATACATTAACGAGAAGATACACACTTCAAAACAAAAATCATAATAGTTGTTAAACAAATGATCTAATCTTACCTGCTTTTTAATTGGACTTGCGAAAATTAAAGGGGCAGTTTCTTTAGTAAAAGTTGTCACTAAAGGCAGCTTGCTGGCAGAAACAAACTTAGCTATTGAAGATTTTCTGAATTTACCATCTGAATTGCAAAATGAAAAAGATAATAAGGATGTCTCCCTGCTGAGATTCAATTCAATTCCAGTATCGAAAAAAAGAGATGAAAGGAGCGGCTAACCATAATGCACCACTTTCTCTGGCTCCTTTTTAATCATGACCAAAACAGGGCGTTTAGCATTGTCTTCTATGTTGAATAGCTTAGCCACGTTAGGATTTGTCGTCTGGTAAAAGTTAACATCAATTTCAAGTTTTGAAACAGCTGAAAGTTGATCAGTCGCGGAACCCTGTAAAATGTTTGGACATTAGTAAACTTATGAGGAATCAAATCATAAGAGGGAAATTGACAACAATGTCATGTTGCAGATAGACAATTGACAGTAATACACAACAAAAACAAGCTATCGATGTTATATTTAGAGAAATGAAAACACAATTACTTTCACTAGAAGAGAAAAATGATAAGCAAGTAGCAGTCAACAACATACCACCAAGGAGTCGAGGTATGCTAGAACAACTTTGTCCTCGGAGGTTAGTACACGCTCTGCATCCTCTGTTGTTGTTATATTGTAAACGCTGGATCCTATCTTCTTCTTTATCCAAGAGATAATTGCATTTCTACAGGTAAAACTCCTCATCAATTTCAACTCAGATTGATCTAACAGCTAAAGTCATAACTTTATTTGATTATGAAACGCAAGATCATAGTAATTGATTCCCCATACCAGCAACATTATAGTGATACCAAGCTTATAATCAGCTAACATACATGTAACAATTCAAATCTTTGAGTTTTTATACCAATTAAACAATTGTGTATATATACTAGTAGCTATGTTTGTAAAATGTAGCATGTTATTGTTAATTAGTGCATCTCAAATTGGCTTACACACATTAATTGTTAACAAATATATGCATATTTTTGTCTGTGTACTAAAAATGTTTGTATATATAAAGCAGAGATGGTGCTGAATAAGACGAAATCAGTGGTGGATGGAGTGTTAAAGTAATAGGTTCATCTGAATCTAGTACTTTTGATAGAAGCATAAAGGTAAGTATAAAAATGATTAAAATTTCAATAAATAGTATGTCTCAACGCATGAAATTTAAATCTTGGATTCGCCTCTGGACGACATACTTGGTTATTCGGCCTTGGTAAAGTTCAGGGTCGCCATCAACGAAGAAAAAAATGGTAGGAAAGCTTCGGACATCGTAGTTATCAGCCGCCTCAACCTCCTTAGCAGCATTGATCTTCGCCAGCACTACATTCTCTGTTTTCAGCTCTGTTGCAGCATCCGCATATTCCGGAGCCAGAGCCTTACAATGTCCATTCCAGGGAGTATAAAATTCCACCATCACATACTTATTATCCTCCAAAAAATCATCCAAATTCCTATCAGTCAATGCTACAACGTCCTCATCATCAATATTAATATCCTCTGCCTCTTGGGCACGATCAAATGGCGCCGAAGGGACCTCAGGACGATCATGATTCGGGATATCAGGCTCGGTTGAATCGTCGTAGTCTTCGAGGAAGCTGAGGAATTCATCATTGTCGGAGGATGCCGGAGTTTTGGCGTGTGATGGAGTGAAGAAGAGAGAAAAAAACAGAAGAGATGAGATACAGAGGAAGAAGATGATCACTCGACTCGGCATTATTATTCTGTTTACACCTCTTAGCAACAAGGCAAGTGACTGATTTTGGTAACAAAGATCCGATAAAAAACACTTACTACCACACGTGTTTGAACCAATTACATTGAATTCATCCTAATGAAGAAAAAAAATTATAATTATGATGTATGAGTTCAATTTTATACGTTGACAAGGTATTTTTTGTAAAAAAAAATAAAAACAAATACCCAATTCTATTAATATGTCCTTGAATTATGTGAAATTGAAGAGACATGTTTGTGGTTAATACTTTAGCACAAATATGCTCTTACAATCGGTTACTTGATCCAAATTTGCCATTATTATTTCAATGGTACACACTAATTAACCTAATTAGATGATAAAAGTATGTCAACATTATACGTCTAACATGCTAGATACTGATTAGATAGTCTAAAGGATTAATCTTTACCGTCAGTACATAGAATTAAATAAAATTCATAGCTAAATGGCGGGAGTAGCTCAACTAGAGTATATATATTTCTATTTGACTGCACATTTGATGCTTTTATAGGAAATTTATCAAAACTATCTGATTGTGATGAATCATACAAATTCTTATATATAGTGTTTTGCAGTTGAGTATCGGTGTGGGAAAATGAGTATGCTTCTGGTGAGAAGGGAACACAACTTTCATAAGTGAAGAGTTTTATCTTGAGAATTAATAATGGATGGTAAGAAAAGAACAACAAGCAAGAAGACACAAGAAGCTATTGGTAATGTCATTTTGTTTCTCAATTTGTTGTTTTTGAAGGTTAGAATATGAGGAAGTTTGGAATTTTGAGTTCAATTTTATAAGCTGAAATTTAATGATGATTTGATGGTTGCTTGGACTTGAATGTATAGTGCAAAAGTAGGGAGTAAAATGATACATAAATTATCGATGACAATGTCTTTAGTAAAGTAACTAATAGTTAACATTATTTTGAAATGTCCTATCGAAAAGTTTAAATTGTAAAAGAGGTGATACATGTATAAAGATCTAAATCTTTTACTGGTTCGAGACCTATTATTTGCACAAGTACCTCATATAAAAACTTGTTGATAAGTGAAACGACTTCCAAATAGAAAATAGGGTACAACTATCACTCCCAAATCACATTGATTGTGTTATGTGGTGTTGGTGAAAATTACATTATTATAGGATTACAATTGAAAATAAAATGAAGAAATAAAAATATATTTAGGTTGAAGCGCGGATATCTCGTTCTCTTTAAGGAGATTCAAGTTCATTGCAACAAATGTTTTCACCGATTCAGCAGTAGTCCTCTTGACTTGTCCCCTTCAGGATACAACAACCTAATCACTAAGGGCATCTCTAACCCTACACTCTATTTTACCCTCCAACTCAATTCTCTATTTTACTCTCTAAAAAAGAATCTTTTTTCTCTCTCCTCAATATTATATTATTATTTCTATTTCATTTTTGTTTTCTTATTCCATAATATAAATCTTTTCTTTCTATTTTTCCGAATAATCATCCTATATAATTTGATGTAATATAAAATTTATATTTTTTGAAATTTTTTATATAATATTAAATTATATTTTATTCTAAATTTTCTAAAGAACAACTACGAATAATTGAAAAAAGTAATCAACAAGCACAACCGCAATTACAACCACAACTTCTCTAAATCATGCACTAATTCCTTTTTCGAATATCCTTAAATCTAGAAACGACCTATCGGATTACTAAATTAGTGTTGTGATTTTTAAAATTATTATGTTATGCATTGTATTGTATTGTTATCTTTTATTTAAATTATTATGTTATGTATTATATTTTTAAATTATAATTTTTATCTTATCATTTAAATTTTGTGCATTCTTCATAGTGAAAATTAATAATAACATCAAATTGTATCACAAAGTGATGAAAATTAAAAAAAAAATATTTAAAATATTATTAATTCGAGATGAAAGTAGCATATATAAAATAAAATATTTTTAAAATGTTATATTGTATTTAAAAAGAATTGCAAATATTAGAGATTTAATTAATAGTCTTATATGAAAAATAATATGTTAATTACAAAATAGTAGAAATAATAATATAATATTCAAAAAGTGAAATAGAGAGTATGAATTGTAGTTCTCCAAATTTGGAGAACTACTATTCAACTCTTTATAATTGGAGAGTAGCTGGTAAAATAGAGAGTGGTTGGAGAGGACATTCTCTATTTTACTCAACAAACTCTGGACAAAAGTTGAGTCCAAAGCTCCATAAAAAGAACACATCCCTTCAACTAATAAGAACTCTCTTTTTTGACTAACTTTTATGCACTCTCTATTTTCTTGTTTCCCCAAACCAAATGAAGATCGTCACTATTTATAGTTGTGAAAGTCTTCGTAGCAATAAATAAGAAGATAATAGGGTAGTAAATAGTGAAGATAAATGGCCTAGAAGTTACACAAGTTACCAGGAATAATGGGGAATAAAGAGTGAAATAATGTTTGATAACCAATGTCAACAACGGACAACAAATATGCTGCCCATGATCAGTCCACCAACGTTCTCAGCAACGTTTTATTTCCACCAAAATAATGAGCAATTAAGCCCAAAATGAAATGCACATAAAGAGAGGATAGTAATAGTAACGCCACATATCACTTAAAACAATATGTAAGAAACTGACACTAACAGACACACAGTGGCAATGCAAATGACGGATTTTATTAAATTAAAATGCTAAATAACCAACATGTGGTACATAAGATTTGCTGCAATTAGTTTACAGAGAAAGAAGATGACAAGTAGACATGATTTATTTTCCTCAAAAAAGGTAAATGTTTGCTTAGACTATACACAAACTTCTAATGGAGTTATTTTGACTTTTAATCTTTGTCTTTTCCTAGTCCTCTATACGCTTTGACACTTGGCAGGATCAATACTAGTGAAAGTCAAGTGAGATTATTATGGAAAGCACATTCAACATCTAGTCAACAATGTTATAGCACATTTATAGAAAAAAATAAAATGAGGAAAGTATTTAAAACGTTATCTCAAAAATCATACGTGGCACCACCACAAATTAGGATTCTTTTTTTAATTTATATATTTACAAAACTGGTCTTCCCCTCTCATGAAAAGTTGCGACTTTAATGAAAAATTGTGATTTTTATGAAAAGTTGCGACTTATATGAACAGTTGCGGTTTTTATGAAAAATTGTAACTTCTATGAAGAATTGTGACTTTTATGAAAAGTTGTGTCTTTTATGAAAGATTATGACCTTTCCGAAGGGTTGTAACTTTTCCGAAGAGTTGTGACATTTCCGATAAGGCACAATAAACATTTATTAACACTACCCTTTGTTGTCTAGCTATGAATAGAGGGATTTCCTCTCATTTTAAAACAACGAAAATTCTGAACTTCTTCTTCTTAACCTGCACAATTAAATATTCGTGTACAATTTTTTCCTTTCTGTTTCATCCTATTGTTACAGATCCTGGTATGTATTTTTACAGTCATTAATTTATGCTTATGTTATTAATTGTTGTTTTTGAGTACATGTTTTAAACTTTGTTGTTTATGTTTCTGCAAAGTTATTGTTATAAGTATTTGTTAGTACAGATTAAACAACACACGTTAATTAAGTATTCACGCAAGTTTTCTGTACTGATCATGAAATTGCTGAAGGTACAGAAAAAAATTCCTTAAAGATCTATACTATTATTTGTCATTATCACATAACTCAAGAACATCTAATGAATGAATTATTCAGGAAATAATAAATCATTGGTTCTTTAATCAATATTAAAAGGAAAAAAGGAATAAAATAAGAATATATATACACAAAGGCATTTCGTAAGAACAAGAACACATTTAAGTTGCATAGATTTTACAATTGTGATATATGTCTCAAGAAAAAATTCAAAAATTTGTTAACATATTCAAAAAAGAAATTACTTACATTATTAATGTTTGTTATATGTAATCATATATGTAAGATAATATAGTATTTTAGTTTTAATGACTCGTAGATTTTAAGTATTATTTTATAAATTTAGTGATATTAAATTTCCGCGCAAAGCGCGGATAATTTTACTAGTAAAAATAAAAAGAATATGGGGATATTCATGGAATAGTGACAACCTTGAAACGGTATAACAATTAATTTCTCAAAATATGATGATATAAAAGCATGGTTACATTTCAAAACAATAACCTTCCTCACACATTAACATTTCGAAACCTCAAATGGATTCATTCAAGTTTCTATTTGTCACTCTCTTAATCATGTTTCTTCCTGTTCCCTCTCAAGCCACAGGTAGTTTGTCTTCTTGTTTCTCTCTATTAAAAAAAAGTTGTTCTTTTATGTTATATATATATATATATATATAATCTTTTAAGTTTGGAGAATCTTAGTAACTCGATTTGGTTGAATTTTTACTTTGTGTTGTGAGGGTTTAATTTTCTATATTGTAAATTATAGTCCCCTACCCCATTTTGAAGGGGAGGAAAAAGATCTTTTGAGTTTTTACTTAAAAAATTGATTTATTTATTTACATCTTTAATTTTATTTTATTTTTATTTTTAGGTGATGTGGAAATCAATGATGATACTTCTTCGGATTGTGTTTTCACAAGCAATTGCAAGACCAGGTCGGATTGTGTTGGCCCGTGTAGAGAACTTGGGATTTTGGTTGGGTTGTGCGTTCCGGATCCACACCCGGGTGGAAAACTTGTTTGTTGCTGTTTTGATGGTAAAAATTAGCGACAAACAAAATTAAGAAATTTTTTATTATATTAATGTTGCTTCATTTTATCCTACATTGTTCTGATTCCTCGTAGTTTGTTGTTTATTTTCTTGTATTGTGGTTTTTAAATATGGAATAATATTGTGTTAATTGCTTGTTTAAAAACAATTGTATTGAATTAAACATCAACACATAAATTAAAATGGAGGGAGTAATTACAAAGGCAGGGTTTAAACTAAGTGGATTAAGAAAGGTTCTTTGTAATCAAGATTATATTGCAA